CAGTGGTAAAATACACGCAAACTCACACCCTGAAAACATAACAGTATCATTCTCAACTTCTTCCCCAAGTTTCGATCACCTGCGTATTCTTTAATGAAGCTTCACAGTTGGGTGCCAAAAAGGCAATGGTAGATTAATGATAACAAGTGACGCAAATTTAATTATTGGATTGACCCCCCCCCCCCCCCCCGAACAGGGGAGGCAGCTCCTCATGAATAAAAAAAGTGTTATCCCCCCCCCAAAAAAAAAACAACGAAAAAACGAAAAGAAAAAATATGATTGGGGGAAGGTGCTCAAACATACTGTGTTGTAAAGGTTCCTCTGCCCCACATCTTCGACAGAGACCAGAAAGCATGGCCCTGGAAACTACTTTGTTTGCAAAAACACTCTTGCCAGAAAGCGCATTTTCGATGTGCCAGAGAGAGGCTCGAACCGTTTCTCACGATGCCGCACCAAAAAGAACAATGCGCGCTTCTCAAATACATGGCTTTCACTAACCGCGAACTCCCTGCAGCGCTCATTTTGCACCAACAAATTTGATTTTGTCAGCAAGAACAAGATCGCAATGACCACCAGCATACAGTGCGATGACGGCTTGTGCAAACCATGTCAATCATTCCAGCTTCCAGGTAAAATCCGCTGTTCGCAACACTAGTAATAGATGTCCCAGTTGTAAAATACTGAATAATAAGCAATATTGGTTACGAAAACAAGCGTTGTGATTGCCACTCAGTGCTTCTACAAAAGATAGACTGAAAGGGCTTGTCCTAAAAGTTTCGCGGCATTATTAAAATTCTATTGCTTTTAACTCAGTTTGAATGTCGTCGTCATATATATATATATGGGTGGTTTCATCTCAAATCGTGCAGGCAAAAAGGGTCGAATTTTTAATTTCGAAGAAAAAAATATATGTTATTGCGCCGTGTCTAAAACCGCAGTCGACACAAACCGCAAGTTCGTCGGATTTTTTGTTCTCGACTTATGCATTTTTAAAGAGGCCGCGGCGAAAAGTTTTTCACACCCGTTGTGGGTCGGATGTTTCGCTTGATCTCCCGCCATGGATTTTCAGTCCACATTATATTATCTTTTTGAAGCACTCTGTGGACACATTTAAAAGGCTCCAATACCATGACATAATTTTAGGCCTTTTTCTTTTTTTCTGTAAAAATGTCAAAAACGCCTCCTATGTCAATTGTTGACGAATTTTGACAATTAATTACTGGCGATCTACTTGGGTTACACCGATATTTTTTATGTCCACGGAGAGCCCAAAACACGCTATTTATATTTATTATAAAATTCCTTGGCTGTATAAAATATCCTTTGTGGTACATTTACGGTAATATTATACAAAAACCAAAATGTACCATTTTTGAAATTGATTTTCTCAAAAAATCTTTTTTTTATTTTTTTTTTATTTTTTGTTCAAATGTAGGTATGATAGTTGTCTACACGAAAATCAAGTCTAGAAAGTGTATATTTTGTTTGCATGTTTTATATTTAGGCCTCAATATCGGGAAAAGACGTCTTTGTTTTGCAAGACCTAAGTAAGACATAGCGACCCATGCGTCTCTATGAATTGTGAAAAAGTTTTCTTGAATTTTCTTCTGCATTTTGTAATCAATTATAAACGGATTTTGTGATATTGAATTGTTATGTATGTTTTGATAAGAGCGGGAACCATGAGATGCATATCTAACCAAATCAGCAGGCCTAGTAGACTTTCAATAACCAAAAGGCACAGACGTTGTATTGTTTCGATTTATAAACCTTTCAAAGTAAACTAGCACGACTAGCTATTAGCTGTCATATTACTAAGACAAAGAAAGTCACCACATCGTCGATATATTACATACAATTCTTTACGAATTGTATGTCACCGCACATCGCACAGGTCACCAGGGAATGTCCTTTCACTTCCGTAATACACAAAAGTGGTGACACAGAAACGGTCCGAAACACGCAGAGAGTGTGTCATGGAGAGGGGTAGGAAATAAAAATAAATAGGAATTAAATTGCCCAACTCCGTTCTTAACGAAAATTGCGTTAAAAAAATAAAGTATTTAGGTTCGAGCGGTGGCAAGGCGATAGGTCCACACCTGGTGGAAAGTCAGACAAAGAAGTCGACGGCACGTAAAGGTAAAACAAAAAAAAATCAATAGTTTAATAAAGATGGGAAAACTCAGCCGCACATGGCAAGAACAAAAACCAACTCCCCCGGGCATTCCCTAAACGGGCGCAACCAAATGCGTGCGAACACGCTCTCTACATCACCGCCAGGCCGCTACGCCATGACCAAATAAACCCAACAACTGAACAGTGCTAACAAACAGTTAGTAAGAAAACATTGAAAAAAAAAGCGTTCAGAAAAAACCGCACCCGAGAAACAAAGTTCAGCGTGGCGAAGAAACACACACGAGTCGGTCCCACGACATTGAAGTCTGGCAGGATGACGGCGTCCAGATGATGCTCGAATCTGTTCCTCCCTCTATTACGCACATCTACGACGGCTGTGCGGAACAGTGGCTGTACGAAAGAAAGTGAAGAATAGGTTCGAGCAGGCGATGCGCGAGAAGGTAACCGAGACTATGCTCCAAGCTTAATATCGGGAGAGGAGCTTTCGAGGTAGTTTCTGCAGTTACTCAAACTTTCTCTTTCCCCTTCCCTTTTTCAAAAGAACACGTCAGCCGGCGCTAACGTTTCATCTCGGGAGAAGCCCACTCTTCACAAACGGTTATAGTTGACGAGGAGGCTGACTTCGACCCAACTAGTCTCCGGGCAGAATACAAACACAAGTATATTTACCAACACGCTCGTTTTAATGTCAGTCTGCGGGCTTTGCTGTTTCCAAAAGAGATAACCCTTTATAAGGACAGAACGAGCGGGTTGGTGGGGATAATTAAACTTAAACACTCCCTTCTCGTTTTCTTTCTCAAGTTTAATAGATAACCCTTCGGTGCTATCGGATCTCCCCGGAGAGAGAGAGAGAGAGCACGGCCGTTTCAAGGTAAGGATAGGGCGCTCGAAGCTAGGGCAAACAGGCGGTATCGTTTCACGCATGCACGGATGGCTGGTTTCAAATTTCCCCACATCCCTAAAGAAACCGGCCAATCTTCGTGTGTGCGTCTGCGGGATTTCTGTCCCGCGCCGCCGGTTTTAGCGCGCACGCGGCGTTGTTTTGGCTGGCAGAACAGTTGTTGACCGTCGACATAGTAAGGCCGTGGTGTCCTCATTCTTTCAGGCAACGATTCCTTTGCTTTCCCTTGTGCAATACTCTGACAGACTCCTCCTGGGTGGCTGTCACTGTTCGCCGCGTCAACGACACAATCGTACCATTTCACTCCTCGTGACACAGGGTGCGCTGCTCGCTTTACTGTCACGGGCCGTCCCGTCTAACACAACGAGAGCGAAAGGTCGTGGTCATCTGCTGGCTCCGAAAGGGCGGGACGTTCATGCAGGCCAATGAGAGCCTCGAGTCAATAAGACGTCTGCCTACTCCTGCACGTTAAAAATTTACGACCCCTGCTGGTCTGTTAAGAAGTGTTGCTTTCTCTTTTTGGAACTCCTCCAATGTAGCTTGCCACCTATAAAAAATTTAAATAATTAATAAATATATCAGGGTGGAAATACTGTAATTCAGTTTTATGTGGGAACGTTAAAAAAAAGAAAAAAACTATTTCCAAGCTTGTGAAGACGCGCAATTCGCAAGTCCATTTCGAGCCGTAAAAACACGTCTTTGTACGATATTCATGCTTAAATGTAGAACATACAAACAAAATATACACTTTCTAGGCTTGATTTTCGCGTAGACAACTATCATATCTACATTTTAACAAAAAATAAAAAAATAAAAAATGGGTTTTTTGAGAAAATCAATTCCAAAAATGGTACTTTTTGGTTTTTGCATATTATTAACGTAAACGTACCGCAAAGGATATTTTATACAGCCAGGGCATTTTATAATAAATATAAATAGCGTGTTTTGGGCTCTCCGTGGACATAAAAAATATCGGTGTAACCCAAGTAGATCGCCAGTAATTAATTGTCAAAGTTCGTCAACAATTGACCGAGGAGGCGTTTTTGACATTTTTACAGAAAAAAAAAGTAAAAGGCCTAAAATTATTTCATGGTATTGGAGACTTTTAGATGTGTCCACAGAGTGCTTAAAAAAAAATAATATAATGTGGACTGCAAATCCATGGCGGGAGATCAAGCGGAAAATCCGACCCACGACGGGTGTGAAAAACACTGCTTTTCGCCGCGGCCTCTTTAAAAATTCATAAGTCGAGAACAAAAAATCCGACGAACTTGCGGTTTGTGTCGACTGCGGTTTTAGCAACGGCGCCATAACATATACTTTTTTCATCAAAATGAAAAATTCGACCCTTTTTGCTTGCACGATTTGAGATGAAACCACCCATATATCTATATATATATATATATATATATATATATAGAGAGAGAGAGAGAGAGAGAGAAACGGAGCGCCGGATGACGAAAGGTATATACGGCAGAAAAGACGCACTTGAGACGGTTGTTGGAGTTTTTAAAACTCCAACGACCGTCTGTCAGGCCGAAACGTCAACGAACTTTACGAATAATATGTTTTAAAAACTCCACCAACCGTCTCAAGTGCGTTTTCCTGCCGTATATATATATATAAATAGATAGATAGATAGATAGATAGATAGATAGATAGATAGATAGATAGATAGATAGATAGATAGATAGATAGATAGATAGATAGATAGATAGATATTCATGGTATTTCTTTTTTATTTCTAGGTTTATCATTGCTCCCTTCCAGGTCTGACTCATGCATGCCGCAGAAAACAACACAGGTGACCGTGCCGTTTCATATATTGTTTTTTTTTGAGACAGCATTTTAGTTTGCTCGTGTAACTTTCGTCTATTAGCCCCGAGAACTTCGGGTGGCGCCCTCTCACGGCCAGTCGAAGTGACATCACGCCGAGGAGCGAATTTTCCCCGGCTCGGCTTGTGTACGTCGTACGCGGCAGGCTGCTTCGGTATTCGGTGCGGTAGATCCTTTCTCGTCTGTTTATTCGACGATGGTTTTGTTTTTCTTCGTGGTTTCGCGAGGCGGTCGACTTTTGTGAAAATTTCGAGCAGGAATCGGGTCCGGATTTGTTCCGTGCTGCCTCATGGACGACGGACACACCAGAGATCGAGTTACGGGTAAGTAAGCTCGTTCTTAGTTCCCAGCTCTCCGCTGCGCGCGGAACGCGCCCACCGACTGAAAATACTTGGCGTAGGAACGGTGTAGCGTTCGTGGTCTGAGCGACCTCGGTAACCGGTGCGCTAATAATTTTCCTTTGCAGTTGCGCTGCCGGTGAGCAGCATTAATCGGTATGTGGACAAGGCCTGCGAGACAAGTTGGTGCCTCATCGAGGCCGAGGATGTGTACTACGCTGGCCACGTCGTTGAGTGCGCCGTTGAAACGGCCCGCGGCGACTGCTACACATTCCTGGCGTTTGTTTTACAAACATCCGCAATCTCTGGCGCCCCGCACGAGGTGAAAGTCGCCGTCTGCAGGTCGGAGGTCGACCAAGCTAGCTGCACTTGCAAGGCAGGGTATGTTTCGGGCCGGGCCGATCTTCTCTGCCACGAGCCAAACCACACGCTCGATTTTTACAGTGATCTGAAGTAACATAACTTTGTTTCCATAAAAAGAGCCTGTGAAATCCTTCATATTCGTGTTCCTTTAATTTTCGTGAATTTCGCGATCTCAAAAATTCGCAAAACTTAATATCTCAGAAGTATTATTTCTGTCTACTAGAGGCCAGAACACTGTCAAAATTTAGTGTCCGACCCCTGTACCCTTCTCGCCAGAAATTGTGGCTAAGAAAGTGAAGGTTTTAACGGGATCTGAATAAGCATCGGATTTCGCTAGTCTTGGCTGCTTGTCGTATCGGCACATATTCTTCGTTCCAAATATTAAACTTAAGGCAACACATTTCGAAGAGCTAGCCCTTTCGCGCGAGGGTGCTTAATTTAGTTGAGCGGCTAACACATCTGGATTATTTATGCTAGTATTTCATAAACAACTGCTTTTACGTTTATGCGCCCAAACATAAGTGCCATGTTTACATCATGCTAATTGCGGCAGGGGACTCGCCTAGCTTACCTCTTTAGTGGCTGTGGTGAAATATTTTCGAAATATACTCTTTGCATCTCTCAAAGCCGTCTGTTTTGTTGGGTCTTCTCTTATTGCAGAAACTACAAGTGCAAGCACATTGTGGCTGTTTTACTTCACATCAACGCTGCAAGAACGTTCGAACAGCTATCGCCAACCGACCAGCCTCAGAAGTGGGGCAAAGTGCAAAAGGAGCTCGTCATGGAGAAATATGAGCCAAGAATGATGGTTGACCTACCTTGCGCAAAGAAAGTAAGCTAATCAAGACAAACTAAAAATCCTGATGCTGGGGAAACAATAGACAACATTGGGGGTTTCCCTCTATGTTGTGTCGTGCTTCATATTCAACCACCACCGGCTTGTTTCCGCCTTAGCTCTCTGTTCATATGTTTACAAGTCTTGACCGAAACATAGTGACGACATCAACACAGAATTTTTGCCAGCAATCTGTCAACTTGCAAGCCGTTGGCTCTCTTGCTCAACAGTCGTGTCGCATTGGATAAATGACAGCTTGACATGAATGGCAACAGTAATGTTCTCGGTGCGACAGTTTTTGGTAACCAAAAGAGCAGCAACTTGTATCGCCTAGGTCTGTGGCCGTACAAATTACGGGGCAACGAGAAAACGGATAGCTTTATCTGCGTATGAAGAGCGATCTTAAGAAATAACGGACAGAAAAATATTTATGGTGATATTTCTAAGCGTTAAAGGGGCCCTCCGGAGCTTTCTGCGATCGTCTGTTTATGTTGTTATATTGCGTAGTAGGTGCAAGTTAATATGTATACAAAGTTTTAGATTACATAACCGTTTATTAAGCAGATGGCAGAAGAAATATATCGGGACTATTTTCTCTTGGAAGACAATTCCCCATTCCCTGCCCATCGCTAAAACTTGACCAATGGAAATGCTGCATCTCGCGGTGAATGCGAACATTATTATTGCAACACTTTTTAAGCTCGTTGTAAATTAGAGTTTGAGAAAAACGTAAACTGATTGCGGTGCGGGAAACATAGTCCGCAATTATCGCTCCAAAACCAGCGAACTGTTTTCTCCCCGCAAGCTTGTTTCTAGGGGGTGATGCGTCGGCTCATCGGCTCGTCTGCCACCCGGGGCGTCTGCAGGCGTGCGTTTGCGGGACACGTGTTCCTTCTTCCCGTGGATCCCGACTCCGAAGCCAGCTTTACGATCCTTCCTCATCAACGAGTTAAACTTTTCCTTGTCATTTGTGGAATGCGACTGCATATTGCAGTAGCAGCGCGACGGTGCGACGAACGACGGCTGCCGAGCACAAAGTTCGGAGAGATTCCTCCGCGGGTCGGTGGTCGGCCGCGTTGGTGACGCACAGTGACGCCGGAATCCTTCGCTTGCTATTGGCTGACACGTAAAGAGATGCCCCTCCCGTTTTTCGGGGTCATCTCAGAAAGGTGGGCCTGCCGGGGACTTTGATAGCAATTTTAATAGGGAAATCCACCGCGCATTGCCGTAATCTTATGATTTTTAAGGTCCTTAGGGCCTGTAGATTGAGTTACCGCCATAAATAGACCATCGCAGAACGCTCTGGAGGGCCCGTTTAAGCATTACTGGAAGCCATATTGTCAGGCACATAGCCAGGGTTTTGTTTTGGACAAGGGGAGGGGGCACCTATGAAAAAATGTGATATGGGAGACGGGATAGAAGGCCCCAGCAAAGCTGGGGACAGCAGGGGGGGGGGGGGGGGGGGTTGCGTGGCACCCCTTTTCTTCTCCCCGCCCCCTTCCTCGGGCAACGTGCCTACATATCATAGTAGATTTTGCCCTTTGCACTTTGTAGAAGTCGATTTTCAGCAGTGCCACAGAACACACAAGACAAAATAAACATAAAAAATGGTAGAGTGTTCGCTGCACTGTCAGCACCGCTCGACAAGGTGCTCTCTGTGTCAGAGGGCAAGTTGGCAAAAATGGTGGCCGGGCGGCAGTGACATGTTTTCGGACCGTTGCTGCAATGTGGTAGGGTCCCTGAAAATATGTTACCCTGTGTTGATGGGCCAAGTTCTCCAACTGTTTCTTCAATATGACAGGTCCTTAAGATGTCACTATTTCATGTTGGCTATCGCATTTATGTAACAGTTCTGGTCCAGAAAGAATGCTTAAGTATCGCCTCCTCTATGCTGAATGTCTATACACAAACTCATCTCTGTTATGTCGTGGCGCGGTGGTGGCGCACCGGTCGCATTTCCAGTCTGGGGCTGTGGGCAGAAGCCCCCATGCCAGATGTGTATATCTGCATTGGTTTGAAGGGAACCAGACAAAAACCTGCCTTCTTGTCAAAACGCTGCGACTGGGGCCGTACCAAAAGTGTTGAGAAAGATTTGAAGGACAGTTTTCACGTGCTCGGTTTGTCCGAGGATCTGTATATATGCCGTGAAAAGGGAAAAGCATACGCCGTCGGACAACGATTGCTTGGGCGGGACGCACTTTGAGTTGAATTCACGAATACTTGTGGTCATCAGATTTATTTGCTTTGTTTCAACATGAACGCCAGAAAACCGTCAAGTTATGCGAACCACCTACGGACTACGTTCAGTGCGCCTTCAAGTTCAGACGTCCCCCTGATGGTTCGAATTGTCGTCTGCTCTTTCAAACGTTTCTGCTTGTCGTCTGCTCTCTTAGATGACGCTGGCCCGTAGAACAAATGTTGGCCCTGTACTTGCGATAAGAAGTAAGTGCAGGCCTGAAAAGACTTAAATTTGAAGGTTGGTAAGCAGGCTCGATGTAAACAGTACATACAAAAAGATGTTGATCATTGTTACCAGTGGCCATCACCGACTTGTTATCCCTAATTCACTTGGTTCGGTTCTGCTTGCGAATTTCAGTATCGACGTCGGCTATCTCGGCTACGGTTCACGCTTTTGCAGCCTGAGCGGCGTCGCCACTGAAAATTGCGAGCGAAATCGCATCATGCGAATCAGGCTTTAGCATACATACTGCGGCGTCCACGCGGAATGAAGCGCCAGATGTCACACTATTCACGCAAAGTTTTGCGGTGTAACGAGCCTCGGTAATTTTGCTGACGCTCTTCAAGTAGTCAGACATCGCCAGGAAGACGTGGAATCAACATTTCGAACGCGAAAAAAGGCAGGGGGACTCATACCGACGCCGACAACATTGCATTTCAACGGTTTGTGTATGGTCGACGGCGAGCTTCTTGCCGACACCCCCATCGCGCATGCTCAGCGCCGGTGGTGTCCGCTAGGGGCGCTCCGGTTTGTTTGTAAACACGAGTTGGTGTATTGGATCGCTCGTCTCGCATTGTTTAGAAATAAACCCATGCAGACACCCTGGGTGTCTGCATGGCAAGTATCTGCATCTTGATCCCTGACATCCATTTGTGCTTTTTTTTTCCCCCAGGTAAAGGCCAAAGAGACTCCTCAACTCCAGGGGCACGTCCTCGAAAGGCTTCTGAAGGATGTAGGACATCGGTCAGCCGCGAAAATGCATTTTGAAGCTGCAGTCGAAGAAGGTATGCGCACACAGTTAAATTAATTAGAGCCGAGCATGTGTCTGAGACTTCAGTCTTGCATGAAAAGAATGCGTTAGACAAGTAGTGGGACGCTCGATAAACATGCTACGTATTTACAATATTGTTGTGTCTGGAGCAGTTTTCTGAGGCATCATTCACAATTTGCGCACTCTAACTAGCCTAAAACTGTAAGCACAAGGATAGTAGCACATGCTCAGCAACGGTCGGTAAACGTGCTGACTGACAACCGTCACGGTGCAGGATAGGAACATGGCATACCTATGCAATAACAGTTCATGTATTATGTAAACGCTTCTGGTGTGCTAACAGGTAAATAATGATGGCGCATGATGCGTCTTGCCAGGTCGGTAGGCTAACAAATTTTATTTTATAGTACACAGGCATATTTATCGGTAAAGTGTTTGGCGATTATCTTACTTTCCTAACGATTTCTCTGTATAGGCCCTGGTTGCCTATATTCCACAAATAAATAAATATATAGATGTGCCGCTGAGCAGGTCAGTTAGGCAGGCTATCATTAAAATAAAAAGTGTGGGTAATTTAGATATATCATGTTACGCCTACTAAACTGTCTCCAAACGGTGATGTTTATGCAAGAAAGGTTGTGAGGCAATGCCACGCTTGAAAGGCAAAGTGGAAACATGAATGATGATGCTGGCCATAGTTTTGTGACAATTAATCAAGACTGGTGTTGCTGATTTCTTTAGGGCAGCCTACACACGTTTGCGAGCAGGGCCTCTGGGTACCAGCGTCTTGTTAGCTGGGGTATGCATGGGGCATGCCATATTCTGATTACGATGCCTCACTAAGGCTATGGTGATTGGATCATGGCATCCCTTGAAGCGCACCCCAGCCAAGAAGATGGCAGCACCCAAAGGCTGTACTCCGAAACGTGTATTACTTCCGGTGTGTTTGATAGCTGAACATCAAACATGAGTGATCGTAAAGTACATAAGAAAGGTAAAAAGCAGACATTGCTAAAAGCTGTTATTGATTTCACACTGACTGGCTGTCCAGCAGTCATTGCTGTAAACTATGTTGGTTGAACTGGGTGCCGTGCGACAGAAAAATATGCTGATAAGGTGGACTCTAGCTCCTCGTATATTCGGTATAGATGTAAGACCAGAGAATCACCGCAAATGCTAGTGCATAGCTTCTCAAGCTGGATTACTAGGTATACAGGCGTCGACCGGTGTGCTCTCTGGGGTTTCCCGAGCTCCAAAACTTTCCGCAAAAGCAGATGAAACACTGTTGTCACTGTTTAATCCTTGAGAAGTCTTGCTGCTTGGGTAGCAAACAATCTACAGCTTATGCGGAGGGCAAGTTTGTCTGCTTCTTGCGCAGGGGGTAGCGGTGGCATCAGAACGCCGAGCCCCGATTGGCTGATCGCGACCCCCCTTCTGAGCGTCATCTGCTCCTTTGCAGCGTCGTCTGCTCCTTTGCAACGTCGTCTGCGTCTGTCTTAACTTTCCTGCGACTTTCGGAAGTGCAGGTCTTTACGAGCAAGCTCGACTTCGCCTTTTAGAGAGAGCAGGCGAAATAACTCGAGCGGTACGTTGTTTTCGTCTAACAATTATACTTCATTTCAGCTTAGGTCCGAGTTTGGCCGATGTTATGAGCCGAAGGGCTAATCAAACAGCAAAAGAGGCACAACGTCATGGCATGCTCTCTGCAGTTGATAGGATCAGCTGGTATTCGCCGTCTGTCTGTGCGTGCTTCTCCGCCGGTTAGTCCTATAACGCGCAGAGAGCACGCCATAACACTGTACTTTTTGCGCCGTTTGATTGGCCCTTCAGCTCATAACATCGGCTACGCTCGGACCTAAGCTGAAACGAAGTATAACAGACGCGCATCGAGGAGAGAAGTCAAAGGGCTCACTGGCGAGGTGTCCCGAGGCGCCGAGGTTTAGAACCGAGACTGAGGGTGGCTAGAGTCCGCAAGTTCCCGCCCAAATACTCTTTCCCTCCTTTCGTGTGCGGCAAGACTCCTCACTCTTTAACGGCATCGGCGGGTTGGCGCAGTTAACATTCTCTGCTAGTCAAAGCGATGGCTGCTTCACCTTTCCTGCGTCTGTCGGAGATTCACCACTTTTTCACCCGCGAGATCACGGCCTTCAAAGAAAAAAAAAAGTGTTTGTCCTTTGTCCCTTTTGCTCCCCTTTTCTTAGGATTATTTTCATCCTTCTTGTCCAGCTCGCTTGCGCCTTTGCATTTAATTGCATTATAACAATAATTACTTCTTGGTGTCAACGAGTCTACGACATAACTTCCGCAATAGGTTCGACGCCGCTCGGGTAGCTCCATCGATCTTGCTCGGATTCTCTTTCACAGATTAGCACAGGTTTTCAAACTTTTACCACCTGGGTTAACGCCACACATACGTATCCCAATATGCTACCTGACAACAGCCTTTTAGTCGAGCGAGGAAGTTGTGACGACAAGCAGCGATCGAGCACTTTTGGGCTATGATGCGCTCACAGTACCGATTGCACAGCCGTATTTGTTTATTTGCAGTCACTACATCAGCTTTCATCTGTCTTTAGCTGATTATCTTTGAACAACTCATTAAACGCGAGGTACCATTCACGAAACTCGTGCAACTAAACGTTTTAACATAGCAATGAACATGGTGTTTACTTCTTACCTGAGCGAGCGACCTACCGCGGCATGCTGCTCTTGGGGCATTGCAGCCATTGCTGTGGAAGGTCCATCTTGGGCAGTCCATTTAGAGCCGCGTAAAGTGTGGTAGCCACCATGTGGCTTCACTTTGCGGCCCCGCGACGGCACTCACAGTGACTCTCTAAAATGTCACCTTGATCGGAGAGCGTCATCTTTACCGCGTAGCTACAATTTTTAAACGACGCCTGGACATTCGCAACGAGAGTGAAATCCTTCACCTCGAAAGAAAGGACGTATCCTTTAAGGTATTTCCTTTCGCCTTTCTTGAAGGCCGCTTTCTCGCCGGTGAAAAAGCGGTGAATCTCTGACAGTCGTAGGAAAGGTAAAGCAGCCATCGCTTTGACTAGCAGACGGCGTTAACTGCGCCAACCCGCCGACGCCGTTAAAGAGTGAGGAGTCTCGCTGCACATGAAAGGAGGGGAAAAGTATTTGGGAGGGAACTTGTGGACACTAACCACCCTCACTCTCGGTTCTTAGCAAACAAACCTTGGTGCCTCGGGACACCTCGCCAGTGAGTCCTTTGACTTCTCTCCTTGATGTGCGTCTGCTAGTTGTTGGACAAAAACAACGCACCGCTTGAGTTACTTCGTCTGCCCTTTCTGAAAGGCGAAGTCGAGCTCGCTCGTAAAGACCAGGACTTCCGAAAGTCACAGGAAAGGTAAGACAGACGCAGACAACGTTGCGAAGGAACAGACGAAGCTCAGATAGGGGGTCGCAATCAGCCAATCAGGGCTCGGCGTTCTGACATCACCGCTACCCCCTGCGCAAGAAGCACAAACTGAGGTAGACAGACAAGATGACAGCAAGCTCGCAGTGCAGTGCAGTAGAATTTTGTTTGGTGACAGAAATTAAGTTATGAAAGCTGGATGTCGGGCGACAGCGTGCTACCTGATAATTGCTGTTGCCGCAATGAGACACGAATGCTAAAATCATGTCTCACCTATGTTTGCGAACAAAGTTATAATAATAATAATGAAGTTAAGCAGTTGCTTTAATGGTGAGACACAACCTTTAGTAGATTGGCGGTTGTCTCTTCGAGGTTTATATGTCTTTCTGATCTTATTTCATGCTCTGCACTTAGTGTACCATTGCTAACTCATATGCTTAGCCACAAGCAGGCTCCAATCATTTGCAATGTTCCGGTCGGCTCACTTAGCTTGGAAACATTATGACTGGAGCAGAGAAGAAACTTTATTTTCTAAGGTTTGCTATCTGTGAAAGTGTTTTTTTTTTCGATTACTACCATTCACAAAATGCATGTATATGCTTGGGTTGCACACATTTCAGTTTTGACAAGCATGCATTTTGGTTTGGGCACAGTGAGTAATTTGGGATATGTTTTATAGATAGTAATACTGTATTACGTTGCAGCCGTGGAAGCTACCATGGACTTCGACACCACCTCAGAGCCTGGACCCAGCGATTTAACCCTGATGGGCTCTTTGGATGAATTGAGCAAACTTGCTGGGAGCAGCGGCAAACGGCTGCAACTACAGGACGTCCTCCAGCACCTACACGAGAGCAAGGGTGCCAAGGACGTCAAAGAAATTGAGTTCTCGACACGGGAGCAACAGAAATCGAATCTCTGGATGCGCCACAGGGTGGGCATGATTACCGCATCCATTGCGTACAGTGTGTATACGAGGGTGAAAACGCTCAGAACAAAGATGGGCCCTCATGACGTGAGGCCCCTATTGAAGAAGATTATGCGTCAAACAAACGTCCGAACGCCCTCAATGCGTCGTGGCAGTGAAACGGAAGGCACTGCGAAAGAGTGCTTCAAAACAAAGTATGCAGCGCATGGGAATTTAGTGGTGAGAGAGTGTGGCCTGCATGTTATGGAGGGACGACCATACATTGGTGCCAGCCCAGATGGTCTAGTGGAGTGCATTTGCTGCCCAAAGCGCATCCTCGAGGTTAAATGCCCTGAGATCATGAACAAGTTCCTACAGGAAAATATGGAAAAAACCAAAGACAATGTTCCAGGCGAGAATCTGAAGCGCACGACGACCTGTTTCTGCCAGGTGCAAATGCAGATGCGTCTCGCAGGAGTCAGGCACGGTGACTTGTTTGTCTACATTAGCGAGCACGACAATGTCTGCATCAAAGTAGAATTTGATGAAGACTACTTTCAGGATGTAGTTGAAAGAGCTTCATCTTTCTTTGAAAAATATGTGCTCCCACATACGTTCTCTGTTTAGACTGAATCAAGTTTGTCCTGTCTTTACAATTTATGTGCTTAAAGGGATTCTGGATTAAAATTGGGACATCATAAAGTAAGGCAGGTGCAGTAGGCGGGATGGTACAATCCCCACAAGATCGCTCATACAGCGATATCTCCAATGGATGGCCATGTTTTTGAAGAAGAAGGAAGCGACTGAATGAGGCAGACGAGGCCAGTCACATCCCAATTCTCATACCCTTTCTTCACTTTGTCCCCTCAAGGCAGCAAACCAAAGTGGGGAGGAGAGTAGGAAGGCTGGTTTCTCTCTTTCTCAATCTTTCCCGGAGAATAGCTACGCCACATTTTCCACTCAATCGCGCCCCTTTTTGTTCAAAAATACGACCATCCGTTCGAGATATCGCTGAATGAGTGATGTTTTGGGGTTCATAGTGTCCTGTTGAACTCTTCTGCGGCCTTATTTTGTGGAATCCACATTTTGGTTCAGCATCTTTTTGAAGGGGTCATGCATCATTTTTTTTAAATCTTGCCAAATACAAATAACTTCACAGGCGTACCTACAGAACACTCATTTGCTTCATTCTTCTCTGTTCAGAAACCTAGGGACTTGTAAACTTATCTTTATCATTCTGATAAAGCCAAGAAGCTTAGAATTTTTCATGCGTGCATTGTGCATGTAGTACGACTCTGTACTTGGTCATCGGTTGTGGGCTTATCAGAATGATCAAGAAATATTTAGAATTTGCACAATAGAGACTTGTTTCAACAGTTGCGGTCTTGGCTACCTATCAGAGCTTACAGGCGCAGGTGTCCTCAAATCAGGCTTACAAATGGCATGTTGGAAGATTGTAATCAGTGACTGCCCGACGACTCCATAATGTAGATTTGAATGCGAGGCATCAAGACATTGAGCTTTTTCTTTTACACAGCCCATGTGAGGAGGATACTTGGGTCACGCCAGTGCCAGTACGCTTGTTGGAAAAGTTCAAATGTAATATTGTTTCACGACCCCTTTAAAATTGTACTGCATAGTAATGTAAAAATTTAGATTTGAAGGGCCTCTAGACAGCAACTGGTCACATTAAAAAAGATCATGAGCAGGCATAATCATACTCTTTATTACAAGAAAATGCACGAAAGAGATGTGGGACTGGAAACATGTTTGTCTAATATTTGCAACATTATTTACTGTTTGAAATTTATGCTTGAGCACTACTTAAAGATAGATGTTCTGCCGCATTTCTACTTGAAGAGGAATTTATCCTCGCTAAACAGAGGCTTCGAAAGGTTTACCATGCCAGAAATCACTGTGAAGATATTGTCTATGTGTGGCACAAGATCTAGATCGAACCGATTTCTCAGAATGTGGTAGATCTTCACCCTCTGAATTGCTCTCTCTACATGAACACGTGCACAGGCTATAGACTGATTCGACCTGGCTTCTTCTGTCGTCAGCTGTTTCTCCATAAGGAAGGGAGGCCTGATCATTCGCACATTTTTTTCTCTGCACAGCTCGCTGATCAGGAACCCTTTGTCCACCATCACAATGTCGACATGTGGAGTACACCTGTCCAGCAGCTGGGACTGCTTTGTGATGAATGTGTCCGATGCTTTTTCACCATATGCTGGGCTTACGTAACTGATTAGCCCTCCTGGTGTTTCACTTACTAGGACCTTTGCCGTGTACGTTCGTTTATAATGGCTGTATGTGAGCAACCTTGACATAAGGTCTTTTGGCCTCTCGATTTCTATCTCTGTGCAGTCCAGCACCATCCTCGTGTCCTTGTACTCCCAGAAATAGGTTGTTAGGCAGCTAACCACGGAGTCTTTGTCCGGCCAGAAGACAGCATGCTCGAGAATGCTTGCGAGTATCAAAATAGACTCTTTAAAGATGTTCGACACTGTTTTTCGGTGCACACCAAAGAGCACTGCCAACAGCGAAAACGTAACGTCGTGATACAACTTCATAAAAGTTAAGAGCACAGCGTCATCCTCACTTATGCAGAAGCTGCGGGATGACTGGAGTGTGTGGGCTTCTGTGTAGAGCTCTGTTATAATATAAAACAACTCGAATGAGCACACTCCTGTCAGTACCAGCAGCCCATTTTCGTCTGTTATTTTAGATATCGTTATCAGCTGTTCTCGCTTGAATGGGTTGCTCATGGTATCGAATTGAACACCAATGTTGCGTTGAAACTTCTCCAGCTCTGCGGTGAGTTCTGCAAATAAAAGCGGAGTGGTATAGAAAGGAAACAGTTCAGTTGTTTGAAATGAAGCATTGATATAATTCCTACCTTCAACATTTGTGATGTGTTCGCCGGGGCTCCCTCTGGGAACTGAGAAGGCACTGGCACTTGCCGCAGTTGAGTCTACAACCAATGGTTCGGGAGTGGGCGAAGGGGCAGGTAGCGTCCGAATCACTGATACATGAAATGAAATGAGGACTACATTTGCAGATGCATTACTCAATTACTGGCACAAACAGTCAAATGAGATAACGCATATCATTTAACATTTTTGTAGTATCCACAGTTTCTAAACAAGAATGCAGTATCAGAATTACTATTACTTCAGTAACGCACTACTTTATTTCCTATGAATAAACAATCGCCAGTAATTTTTGCGAATGGCGAATGCCGTCTGCTTGTTTTCCTAGTAGTGTTTCACTTGACTGATTGTAGGAACGGTGCGAAATACACATGGAAACACCAGACTGGCCCCACTTGCCAAACTATTAACTGTTTTTTTTTTTGTTCTGTTCACACAATGGTTTATACCAACCGGCCGAGCTTTCCATCTGATCAATCACCTATCTCGGTGATAGCTGCGGACTCGTTTATATTATCCCTCAAATGGTGCAAAAGTTTGGCAACGAAGGGCATTTAATTTATAATTAGTTTTACTGCAATATTTGTTATTTATGAGATCTAGGAAATCGATTTTACATAAATAAAATTGTCTCCGGACTAGAACACCAGAACTTTTTCGTACACAAACTGTCATCCTCCGTGGGTTCCAGAACTTGTTCTGCTGCGGCGGCATCTTCCACTGGAGAGCTGTCCGAAATCCCGCTGCTGCTCGTGTTTTCCTGTACTATCAGGAGGTCCAATTGTAGGGAAATGGGAGGTTGTGGCACCTGCTGTGGATTTGCAGCAGCATGCCTTTCACCTGAAAGTTAAAAATTTATTAAAATGGCGCATTGACTAATGCTGATGACTCGGCTAGTTGGTAGTTCATTCCCCAAATACGCACAGCGCACAGTCGCCGACAAAGTACAAGATGACTAACAGACAGCAGTGCTGACCTACATTGAACTTTTACTGGTGCCTACTTCGAGTATGCCAACGGTAAACAAGCCAAGGTAAGGAAAATACATACAAAAGGAGAAGTAACATGAGTGGCGTAATGAACAAGGCAGAAAAAATGCAATTTAGTCAGGGAAATGTACAATGTAGCCGTTAGGATAACATACTGAACTGAGCTACTTATGTCAAATAACACTGACACTGGGAATTGAGCGAAATTGTACTACTGTAAAACTTCTGATTTTCACAGCCCCATTTTTTTTTACGGATCGGGCAAAGAGACATTTGCGACCACTAAATTTCGCAAATTCTGGACGAGGCAATTCAGGGCTTCTAGAGGCCGGTATTTCGCTTGCCCCTAAATTTCGCGTAATTCGCAAAATTTATAAACACCGGAAAAGAAAAAAAAAAAAAAGGGGGGGCTACAGTATCCTTTCTGGTTACCATGGAACGCTATTTCTAGTTGGTGCTCGTGCTCTATCAAAAATAAGCGCATGGGTGACCCAGCCAGTCCACGGTGTCCGAGTTCCACGCCTACCACGCACGTGTACAGGCAGGCATCTGAAAGTTTCAGAACGAGGACGTGCACAACCGGCGACTTGTGCGCGTGCGGCACGCGCACGTAGGGGTTGCAGCACATCGCCGCTCGTCCAAGAGCCCCCGGCATGAATGCCATTCCAAATTCCAGTGAGAGATGAACGTCAATGCTAGCTCATCAACGTGCGAGAAACAGAACTTTATAAACACTTACGCCGGCGTCTCGCCGCCGCTTCGCCCGGTCGCCTTGTGTCGTGGGGACGCACGGGAAGGTTCAGCGACGGAATTGCCTCCGGCGACAATTTTCGGTACTGGTAACCTAGATATAAAATTAAATGGGACTACGCGCTCACAGAATGTACGCGTCGCACCGGTGTCGGACTTACCCAGAGATTTGTAGACCGGGTAGACGAAGTCCTGCTCATCGAAGTGCTTGCTGCACACAACGGTCGACGCTGACGGCGCCTTCCCCATTCTTAGTTTAATCATCCATTCCTTCTTTTTTCTCGATGACTTTGGGTAGAAGTGAAAACTGACACCGGGTTCTTTTCGAGACGTGCATTGCGGCACGGAACAGAATGTTACCATCTCTAAAGCGAATGTACGAGGACAGAGGCAAGGCGAAATCGGGAAGGAACCGGGAGAGCGCTCCTCGCCGTGACGTCACGGCACACTTCACCCAATCAGGGCGCTGCGACCGCAGCGACGCTTGTGCTCGCGCTCGGGGCTAATAGTACGCTATCGTCCAGGTCGCCCCTGCCAGCCCGGACACAAAGTCACCCTGCGCCCCCTCTCAAGAAGCTACAACCGTCATCCCGCCGTCCTTGAAACTTGGCCCCGACCGTCAAGCTTCTTCACCCGGATAATGTCACATTCGGCGGGGCCGCACCGCACCGCACCGCGCTGCACCGACGGTCGCGTCACGTTGACCTGGTCGTGTCGGTGCGGTTGCACTACGCTCGCCTGGGACTTCATGCGGCGCGCGGCACCGGTGCGTTGCTGCACCAGCTGCACCGTTGCAAGGGGACCATGCAGGTCCTGGCACTGCGACCTTGAGTTAACGCTCTCCGCTTCCTGCGGCACCTCCTCTCTCTCTCTCGCCTCGTCGTCGGTCTTCGGTCCTCGTCTCGCGAAACATGGCGGCCCGCAGCTTGAGAGAACGTGATGTCGGCGCTGCTGTCTTCTTTTCCTCAAGCCTTCTGCTCTGGCTACGATTCCGGCAGTGACGACGGACGTCGGTTTTTCCCTTTTCGGGAAGTGTGCATGTGCGGTGCTTCGGTTGCGTCAGCCGCCGAGCAATCAGTCCACCACGCCGGCCACGTGAAGCTTTCGTCGTTCGTCGGATTCAAGACGTCGGTGAGGCTTCGGACTTCGTTTGAACTTTTCCCTGGACTTTGGGTCCCGCAGTGGGGACTTTCCTTTTCGGAACTTTCGTCTTCGTTGCACCGACGAACTTGTTTCCCGGCTGTAGTTTGTGTCGCGAGCGGTGAGTTGTTTCGCGTTGTGTCGGGAATTGAGTGCTGTCTTGTTTTTTTCGCGGCCCCGCTGCCCGAAGGTTCGTCAGTGTGTTGTTGGAGTAACGCGTGTTCGCATTTTGATCTGATGGTTTTGTCGTGTTGTCGCCGTGCGCGGCTTTTTATCGCCTAATTAAATTTCTTGTTTTTCTTTTAACCCCTGCGTGCCCTCGCCTCTGTTGATTTTCCCACCGGGCGTGTACCTATCGGTTGTTACCAGTGCGACAATAAAATCGCATATGTGTAAAACACTGTTTCATAGCCAATGTGTTCTTGCTTTTACGTTGGCGGGAGAATTTTCGGTATACCAAGTACATACTTGAACCATCTACTTGAAAGACAATTTGTTACTTTCATTCCTCACAGAGGGCGCGAGCCGCCGCCCCCCTCTCGCGGATATTTTTTACAGTCCACCCGTTCATGTTTTGCCCTTGCAGTGACCGCACCGAGCGCGTCGCACGGCGGGATGCTTCGCGTTCGCCTGGTAGTGCGTCATGTGGTGCACGTACACGGTGGCGTGGCCTTGGGGGCGACATTTTCTCGGTGCCGTGCGCGCCTCAGACAAATGTGAAATAACGGATAAGAACTGCCCTACGCATCTCTCTCACGAAAGCTCCAACCGTCACCCCGCCGAAATTTGGACTCGACCGTAGCATTGTATAAATAACACCCGCGTTCATCTGTAAAAGTTCTTCCTGACGAAGGCCGGACTCCGGCCGAAACGTCGAAGATTAAATCGTCCGTTGTTGCTGTTTTCACTAAGGGTTCTTTTCTTCTTTAACATATATGGATTGAAACTTATTTTGTAAACCATACTTCACGATATATACTGCGACGAGGTTCCCATTCCATGATTTTATGCACTGCAATTACCATACCTCAAGGAAACAGTTACTATTGAAATTTTAATACCTCGAGGCAGAGTTGCACCAATTACGATATTTCAGGCGAACTACCACACTTCGCAACAACCTTTTATTTGTTTATTTATTAATTTATTTAGTTAATAGTACCTTGAAGGCCCTAAAACAGGGCATTATGTAAGGGAGGAGGAGCTCATATTAGTGGGAAAATAAGAAAAGTCTATACACTCATGAACATCAAAACAATACGAATCAACAAAACACTAAAACAAAAGATGACAAACAGTTCAAACACACTTATAGTCAAAAATACTAGTTCATTGTAAATTCTAAAAGTTCGCCTATCATTTGGTTATTAAAAATACATCTATATTGTTAGCTGTCACAATGTTATTGGGCAACGCGTTCCATTCAATTTTGAGAGGTATGGAAGCGCTAGCGTAAGATGTTGTGGATCCATATGTGGGTTGTATTTTACAGCTGTTATCTAATATAGGGAAAAATGAAGTGGGAGGAGCAAATACTTCATTTTTAATTGTTGGGTTATTGTGGTAAATCCTTTAAAATAGAGTAAAACGAAATATTTTCCGCTTTAAAGTGAGTTCAGGGAGGTTTACGCGTTTACGCAGTTCAGACATGCTTCTGTAAAAAGAGTAATCGGAAAAAATAAATTGCAACGCCCCTTTTTTATACCTTTTTGTTCATCTTTCAGATGAGTTTGCCACAGAGACCAAATGGATGAAACATATTCCAGTTTTTGACGTACTAATGTTAGA